GATGCTGAGAGATTGCACCAGTTGGAGAGACTGAAAAATAAAATAAAATAAAACACAAAAGGTATTTAAAGGTTTCCAGCTCAGGTTTTTTGGGGGTGGTGGAAAAAAACCTAACCAGGCATACGTGGCCCAAATTGAAATCTCCTAGGGAATGGGAGAAATTCAGCAAAGGGAAGCTGGAAAAATGCTCCAGTGCCTGCCCCATGCTCTCCCCCCAAAATGGCTCAGTGGGAGAGGAAGACCAGAAAAGCCACCCCAAAAAGTATTTCTGTGTCTCCATCCTTTATTCCCGAAGGACATCCCTCCACTCCCTTCACTGTGGGACTGCAAGTGATGGGGGAAGCCGACTTTGGTAATCACCATATGGAAATATCTACAGGAAAGGCTCCGGCTGGGCAACAAAAAGCTAGAATCAGGTTAGCTGTCTACAGCTGAGGTCATTTAAAATAAGAAAATGGCATTTACAAGCAATTTTAACTAAAAGCTCATTCAGACGTGTCAATTAAATTGGCTTTCTGGGAATTTCTCACATTCGGGTTAGAGCAGATTGAATCCTGGCGCTCCCGTAATAACTACTGAAATCCAGTTACATGTTTCAGCTGTTTTACACATCCCGCCTGCCTCCGAAACAGACCAAAACACATAAACCGTAACTCGAACAAGCAAGGGACCACTGGAAACCTCGCAGATTGAATTCGCTTCCAGGGATGCTGCTGGGAGCGGGGGTTTTGCCGTGCCCGTGCGCCTTCTCCGGCACCGGCATCAATCACCGCAAGCCACTCATTATTCCCCAGATGTTGTGAGCAGCCGTGATGTCACCTCCACGCACCCGTCAATCACACCTACATAATCAGGACAGCTGATTGACGGCTTGGGAAGAGGGAGTAAACAGATAGGGTGCTGATAGCGCTTTCCACTCGCTGAGTGTTTTTTCAGGGGCAGCGAACAACTAACGCAGCGACAGCGGGGACAGAAACGCCTCTGAGGTGTTTGTCTGGGAGCTCTTCATCGGGTTGTTTCACCAGTTGGTACCATGGACATCTCAGCAGGGTTATACGGGACTTGGACACAGCCTGTCCTCGCCCAGAGGTGCACTGCAGTCCGTGATGCCTTTGCATTGAGCCATCAGATATGTGAAGATGCTTTGGCTACAGGCAGCTGGTGGCAACAGGCAGGCGTGAGGGACAGAGACAGCATCGCCCCACTGCTCCCTGAGTGCCAAACCCCAGCTCTTAACCCCTGGGAACCACCATCGGGAGGAAGACTACCCAAGAAAGCAGCAGCCCGCAATGCCACATCCAGCTCTGATATCTGGAAGGCTGTCTTAAAAGCAGAAGTCGTGAATGTTTTGTGGTTGCAAACATTTTACACAGGGGCATCATGCGAAGGCAATGCAACAGCATCCTTCCAGAGGAGCCCCAGCATTGATGCACCAGCTCCAGCCTGAGACCCGAAAATTGGGATCAAGGAGCTTGATGAATCCATGGGGACAAACCCAGCACATCCTGCAACGACAGCATAGCTGCTTTGGAAACTAGAATAAAATGCAAGATCCCAGATCTTGAAACTAATCCATTAACAGCAATTAGCTGTGAGATCTTCCGGCAAAGCAGGTCAACGTCGCAACGACATTAAAGAGGATTTTTTTTAAGGTCAGGGCAGAGCAGCTTTGGGAGCCAGCCTTGCCCACCTGCTTCTACATCTGAATGAGGACATCAGTCACTCGTGTGCAACACACCTCCAACGAGCATAAACCTGGCTGGTTGCACCCAGACGCACATCTGAGAGATGGGACCATCGTGGTCCTCGATGCTCAGCATCCCCCTCCGCCCGGGTGACACTCGTGTGCTGGGGATTCACCAAAACCCCCAGAACAAGCCAGCCTGGCCACAAAACACCTCTGAAGCAGCAAATTTGGGCTCACGCCCTCCCTGAAGCTCGACCTTGGAGGTGGCGTTGCCGAAGGGGTTTTCCTCGCAGTGCTTGCCGGCGTTTCAGCGAGTTGACATTTCCTTGGCGCGGAGACGCTGCCGGGTCGTCCCCACGAACAAAGAGGAATTAGCGGCTGTTGCGCAGATCGAATTTTATATCTGTGTGCAGATAAACACGGATTTTGGCTCCCTGCCCAGGCCGCCGAAAGCTTTTATCTCCTGCAAAACACCAGGGACTGGGTGAACTTTAAAAAACAATCCTCGTTTCCCACCTCCTCCTGCCAGCTCCCTCCTCCAGCCGGCGAGAGGCGTTGTTTCTTCCTCATTACTTAAAAATCGCATTTTCCCAGCTTTCCTCCAGCCATCGCTTAAAGGGGAGAAACCCCCCAAATCGCCATCCTGGGAGGGGGCTGATAGCATCACTTGTCCCCAGAGTTTCCTCAGCCCATCCATTTTTCCCCCTGCTCTCTCCTTTATATTTCTTGCTCTTCCTCCACCCCCAATTCCCCATGCTAATTTATGGAAATGAAACGATGCCTGTTCCCAGCCAGGGATAATAAAGGAGAGTATTAAAAAGGGTGAGGGGGGGGGGAGGGAAGCACCGTAAGGGGGGGCTGTAAATACTAATTGTTCTACGAGGAGAACATGGTTTATTTTCTTGCTGAAGGGAAGGTTACGTTTAATTAAATCTGCTTGTTCTCTGCTGACGGGGCTGGCTTTCTAATGAGCCCCGAGCCTGCGTGACAGCGGAGGGGACACCCAGCTCCGACTTGCCCTCCAGGGGCAGAGCTACCAGGCATTTTTGGGGGAGGCTGCAAAGGAGAAAGGGGGCAATCCCACTCGCCTTCTGCTTGCTGTGAGCACCTTGATATATAGGCAAGGAAAAGGTTGAAGCATGTGCAAACGCAACAAAGCAGCACTGCTTGCTCGCAAATGCACAATACGCACTTAGGCATCGTGCAACCCAAAAGTGCAACTTCTGGGGTGGGGGGGTCCACCTTCTGCTCCACTGCAGGTAATTAAATTCAGGCCGCTGGGCGCTGTAAGGCAAGGAGACGCCTACTCGGCCCCTCTGATAACATCTCGGGTCGTTCAATTCTCATTGCTCCAATAATCCACATCTAATTTGCCGTGAGCCCTGCACCGAGTCTTTTGGCACTTCATTAGGGTGCGTGAGCAGCATTTCATTACCGACTGTGCCCCCCCACCACCACCTCCCCAGCAAATCTCATCAAAAATCCCAAATAAAAACCACGGTTGCAACCCATGGGAGGTTTCGTGCCCCTCCCCAGGGCATTTGCCTTTTTTCTGCCCTCAGTTTTTGGCAGCACGGGGTGGAGGCGTGGGTAACCCAGTGCAAGGTTTCCAGGGCCTGAATCTGGATTTATCCCACGTTTCATTTCAGCTTTCATTTCGAAGCTCATTTCAGTTTTCCTGACGGGTCCAAACCCAGCATGCTTCCACTGGGGCAACTTTTGTTTCTTGAAGCTTTGCTTTCCAGTATTTTTTTCCAGAAACCCAAAATATTCCCATGGGCAGGGGTCACTTTCACAATGCACGTGGTGGGGGTGATGCAGATTTTTCCCCTCTCACCTACTCAAGCCAGGCTCTGAGATGGACAGAAAGGGCTGGAAAGCACCAAACTCACGTCCTCCTTCAGGAAAAGCTCAGCTTTGTCCTTTTTGAGGTCAGCATTGCAGGGCTAGGCAACTCCTGCATGGGGGCAAAGCTTAAGGGTGGAGCTGCCCGGCCTTCGGAGCATCAGAGAGGATGCAAAGAGAGGGAACGCATCTACATTAATTTAATAATCATGTAATAACGGGGTTTGGGGAGAAAATCAAGGCGGTGTATTCCACAGGTGACCCAGTTACAGGGTATCCCACAAAAGCCTCGGATGTGACCCATTCCAAGCACTCACGAGGACGATGAATAAGCCCAAGTCCTGCTCTGGGCTCCTGAAACAACTCGTCCCCGCAGCCCGGGGATAGATGAAGGCAAGATGAAGTGACGCAGAGGGAGGGGGAGTGAGCGCAGCCGGGAGTTATTTATAGGAAAGGCTTTTGTGCGGGAGGAGACGCCGCTGCCAAAAAGAGATTGTAAAAATAATCCTGGAGACAGGTGCCGCTGCCTTTGGGGAGGAGGCTGCTGCCAACGACAGCTTGGAGGAAGTGCAAGGTAAGAAGAAAGGGGGAAAAAAAAAAAAAGAAAAAAAAAAGAAGTACGATAAGCTGCATTTCTCTGCTTCATCTGCCTCCCGCTCCCATGCCGAGAGAAACCCAATCCTTTGCAAAAGCATCGCACCGAGCCATTTCCAAGGAAGCATACGGAGAATAATTCCATGGACCCCACTGCAGTTCCCTGCAGGTTTTGCCCCACTGCTAGAAATCCCCAAACCGTTGGGTCCTAAATACCATTTTCCATGGCTGAGCTTACACTAAGAACTTAGTTAATTAAAAAAAGAAAAAAAAAAAAAAAAAAAGCTTTAACTTGGCCTGTAAAGCTCTTACCCTCTTGGGAAGGAGAGGAAGAAGGAAAAACCACAATATTTTCAGGAAAAAAAAATAAAAAATCTATTTTGCCTTGGATTTTACCCGCAGCAGCCCTGGTACATTTTGTGCTGCGTTTTGCCATGAGTAAGGGATCAGCCCAGAGCCAGGTCTGTCCCGTCCCCACGTCACATGGGTGCCACTTGCGCATACAGAGATAGAGATGTACGTGTTATATATTTAACACATATATATATAAATTTAAGATGTCTAAAATTTAACATACATATATACAAAAATAGGAAAAGGTACCACAAATGGAGGAGGGGATTAGTCACAGCGTGTGCTTAGGCACGGAAGAGATGCAGTCGAATAACGTCGGCAGCCAAGTGGCATCTCGACGCCTCGTCCTTTCTCCCCTCCCTCCTCCTCCTCCTCTCCGCACCAATCTGTCTCCTCACCCTCTTTTTGGAGCAGCTTTCATCAGCTTGTCACCGAGCGACGACAACCAGGGCCGCGAGCAGAAAAACAGCAGCGAGGAGAGAGGGACCGGGGTGGGGGGATGGAATAAAAGAAAAAATTAAAAAAATAAAATAAAATCCAGGACCCACCCGAAGCCTGACGCTCTGCCCAAACAGCACGAGGCTGGGGAAGATGCTGACGTGGCAGTGCTTTTGGCTGCGGGAGCGAGAGATGGGTGCTCACGACCAAGCCATCAAATGCAACAGCAGAGGCGAGGAGAAGGGACGAGCTCTGCTGCAAGCACCCAAAATGTGTCGTGCTCATCCCCGGCTTGTAACGAAGGAAAAAGCCGGGTGCCAGCACATGCTGGAGTGGAAGGAGTTTTCTTTGCAATATGATGGGAAAAAAGCCTTGCTTCTGTCTTTCTTCACCATTTTTTTTCTTGGGTCTGAGAGACGCGGGAGGCCAGGAGGAACTTCTGCCATGGCTGGGCTGACAACGGGAGGACAAATGAGAGCGTTTAGGCAGTAATTAGGCAGTAATGACCTACTCAGAGGTCTCCACCGCACAGGAAATAGCCTGAGCTGGGACTCAGGCGATGCGAGCCTGAGTGTACTCAGCGATTTATCAGGTTATTGCTGGCTCGCGGGGAACCAGTGACCGAGTCATTAACCCTCTTATGGGCTCCTGCTTTTCATAGATAACCATTTTAAATAAAAATCCGATTTGAAAATTTAAAAAAGCAAAAAGTACCCTTCGACTTCCTGCAAACCAGGAGCTGCTGGGCTCCTTTATCTTCTTACAGCAGAGCGAAGAGGCATCACCTTGGGTGCTGGAGGGTGCACGGCCACCTTCACGGAGCCAGTGTACACAGAAAAGGGACTTCAGCCCCTTCAGCCCCACATTCCCAGCTCCTGGGGGTTTCCTTCAGGCACTCACCAAGCCTGGGGAGTGCACCCTGCCGCCTGAGCAGAGCCTTTTGCAACACTTCAGCATCTCCCCATGGCTATATATAGATGCTCTTACTTACTCTGAGGAAATTGATTGTACTTTGGCGACGGGGGGAACAGACAAGAAAAAAAAAGCTGTCTTTGTCCAAGTTTCATATTTATATACTGCCAAGCTCATGCGTCTTTAATGAGGATTTTGGCATGCTGGCTGAGCTTTTGCTGCCGCCTCCCTGAATCCCTTCCTGCCAGGTGCAAAGCTGCCCCGGCCCCCAGCAAGACCCTGGGACCCCTGTGGGCAACCCCAAAAGCAACTGGAGAGGCTGAAGGGCCCCTGCATGGGGGTGAGCACGCCACCAATCTCTCACTGCAGACAGGATCCCAGCCCTTGCAAAGGAGCTGGGAAAAAAATGCAGCCATCCTGGGTGAGGTTTCAAGTAACCCCGTTGTTTTGGGGGTTGGTTTTTGTTTGTTGGGTGGGAAGGCTGCAAAGAGAACCCCCGTGCTACAATGGGAGGAAAGACACCACAAGCATTTCCAAGCTTTGCAGTGTCAGAACCTGATTTTGGCTTTGAATCCAAGTGCAAGGTTTTGCTTCCTTCCAGTTGACTCACTCCTTGCAAGGTGCAAGTCAGATAAGGCAGCAAAAGGACCGGGCCTTTTTCTTCTTGACTTTCTGGCCAGTCTGGCATCCAACCAAACTGAAACCCAAGGTGGGCTTCATCTTCATCACCCGAGATGTCTTTTTTGGGTATTCACATCTTGGCCATGACCTTCACAGCCTTAACAGTCAAGAAGGAAAAAAGGAGACGTCCTTCATCTTTGCTTTCTTGCCTTACACTAGCACAAGCTAACAGCCCCCTGAAGGCATTTCTTTCTCTGTGCTGATCTTTAAGGAAAGATGCACAACCTGCGCGGGTACCGATAACTTCCCTCCAGGCACCAAAAACCAGGCAAAGAGCATCCCATCTCCCGCAGCATCCCGGAGCGGGTCCTGGACGAGATTTAACAGATCCAATGGAGATGCTCATGGGAGAAGCAGAACGGAGCATCCTTGATTACCACTACGCCCCGTTTGCTCTCCAAGGTGGCATCATCTCAGCAGCGTCACCGCGATGCCTCATCGCAGCGTTAACACGCTGTGACTTACACGACATCTGCTCCGCTGGCGCCGCGTGCCCCGTGCTCGTGTATTAACGCTACTGATCCAGTCCTCGACCTGTCACCATGCCTTAAAATCAACCGCAGGACGACTCCGGGCTGCACGGAGCAGCTTGCGAGCGGCGTGAATAATTTAGGCGCAAGATGTGCAGCAGGACGCGGCGGCGCTGGAGTGGGGATCCCATGGCCCAAAATCTGCTTCTGCACACAGGCAGCTGGGTGGGAAGGGGGTTGTCACCTGGAAAAGGAGAGGTGGCCTCACTGAGGACAGGAAAATGCAGCCTTAAGGCCATCCGTGACATCCAGCAGTGTCAGAGCAGAGCGTGGTGAAATGTATTTGACAAATAGCTGTGTTGCCAAAGAACAGAGAAAAAGGTTAAATAATGGTAAAGAACGTGGAAATAAAGCAGGTCTTGGCTGGGCAAAGTGTTTGCACTGGTCCAAACAGCGATGCTCCAACAGGAGCAAAGTTTTCCCTTCCCACAAGGAAATCTCTCTTATTTTTGTAGGGTTACTGGCACTAAGTGCAGCACGAGGACGTCTGCAAAATATTAGACAAAAAAAAAATATTAAAAATGGACAAGCATGGGATGAGGTAGAAAGGAGAGATGTAACACGATGGGTACAGTGCCCCAAGCAGCACCAGCCCCGTACCAAACTGTTATTCTCCAGATCTTAGCACTTCACCCCCAAACTGCTCCTCTCCCCAAAGCCATTTAAATCCACATCACGCAGAGCAGGTACAGCCAACAGCCGTGCAAATCCCACACACTCGAGATGGAGGAAAATAGCCTCAAAAGGGGCTTTGCCTAGCACCACTTGTACTCAAGAGCCTCGCATTTCATTTTCATTCATTTTCTCCATTTCTTTAGCATATACAGTGAGGAAGGATGCTTCTAAAGTATCATTAATGACCTTGGTGTGGGCAGGGATAGGGGCTGCACTGCAGCATCTGCACATCCCATGGCGTGCCTGTGTCCTCCTGAAGCCTCTGACCCCATTAACAGGTTTATCCCTTAAATGGGGAGGATTATTTCTCCCCTTCTTCCCTTCCCAGAAATCAGAGGCTGAGCAGGAGAGGGAGATGCTCAGGCTGACCCAGGAGCCTTTCCAAGGGCTGAACACTAAATCACCACTCTTGGGCTCAGCTGCACAGAGCTTTCTGTGGGGGGAGCTGAGATTTTGGGGCAAAACAAAAGCAGGCAGACCATTGCTGCTGCCTGGCTTCGTGGTTTGGGGCTGTAACGTCTTCCCAATGATTTCTGCCAGCATTTCTGATGCACGAGCAGCTCCCATAGATGGGAGCAAGCTACAGTGTGACCTACTGAGCCCTGTTTAGCAAATTTTGCCATTTTTCTAGCTCACAAACCACCAGCTCGACAATAGTGCATCTGTTAAAAAACATTGTTATTTCTTACTCTTTCCCAGATCATTTATCCAAAAGACATTCCATTTTATTTTATTTTTTAAACTAGAGACATTTTTCATTTTAAAGCAAGAGAAACTAATGGGCTCAGCAATGCAAAACTTCCCACCTCAGTGCACCACTTTCAGCCACCTCTTCCCCAAAATCACATGCAGAAACCCAGCTGCATTGGCAAAAGGGCCCTTGTTGCTGCTGTACACATGAGCCAATTTGCAGGATTTCACAGATTTTTTTTCTGCCCCCACCAGAACAGGGAAGATTACAAGCTGGAGTTTCCCACATCAGCTCTGGTGTCATCATTGCTCACGGTGCATGCATAACGCAGGCGTTTTTCAGCTCTCAGCACCAGCAAGCCTCTTTCTGCTGGGAAAAGGAGAAGAAAAAGTTTATTGGGCAAAATCCTGGTGCAGGAGTTAAGTGCATGGCTACTGCCCCCAAGCAGGCTTGCAAACAGCACTACTAAATGCATCTCCTGCAAAAATAATAATAATAAAATAATAAAATAAAACCACAGGAATGGACAATGCACAGCAAAGCTGGACGGCTGCACGAGGATGGAATGGCACAGCTGACACTGCTCCCAGCCCTGCCATGAGCAGAAACGTCCCCAAACTGGGACACAGATAACCAGGCTGGGTGCGCAGCCCACGGGGAAGCAGCCACCTCCCTGGGACATTTGCCAACAATGCTGCCACCCGTGGAGACCAAAATGCCACACACACACCGTGCCAGGGCTTTTGGTGTCGGGAAGATGCCATCATCACCTGAAGCAGCCCTGAGGACAGGGTGTGGGGTCACTCGTGAGCCTTCGGGTAAGGCCAGCCTTGCACCAAGAGCCCCAGCAGGTGATGGATTTGCATCGCTTAGAGGCATGCTAGCTCCTGGCACGGTCCTGCGCATTCATGATTTCAATTTCCTCCCGTAACCGGCTTAGATTTCCAAAGCAAATCATTTGCAACTACAAAGCTGCTCCATTTTGACAATTTCAGAACATAAAAATCTATTGCAATCACTCGAAAACGTCTTCAAAGTAACGCTGCTGTCAGTCAATCACCCCTCCCTACCTGTACAAAGGCACTCGCAGAAAAATCTTTCCAACACACTGACGAGGTTTAAGCTGCTCTCCTTCCTCCCAAATCAAAAGATTGTTTTCAAAAATTTAACAGCTTCCAAACACGTCTGAGGCTTTTTGTCATCGGATTGTTCTGCTCTGTGACCACAAAGCCTTGGAGAAAGATCCATTATGGCTTAGGAATGCCCCAAACCCCAGCTTTTCCCTCCTGATGGAGTGCAGCAGCATCCCTGCTCTCTGACAGGGGACAGCTGTGCATGCAGACAGACATCATGGAGCAGGCTTGGGGCTATAAACAGGCTGGAAACCCCTGCAAACCCATTCAGGACCAAACCTTCTGGCCTTTTTGCCCCCAGCACCCCCTCTTGGCTTTCTCCTGGCAATGCCTGCAAGCCCCCACCTCGCCGCTGACTCTGCATCCTCCTGAACACGTCGATGCAGCCCAGCACACTTTCAGCACAATGACTCCGGCACTGCAATAAGACTTTAATGAATTTTTTAAGGGGTTATTTAGGCATAAAAAGGGTTGTGAGTAGAGCCGGTAACAATCTATTGAATCTGTGTTTGTTTGTGGTTTTTTTGTATGAAAAATTGTTTTAGGCTAAAATGTGCATGGAGTTGGGAACTCTCCACGCTTGTAATTCTTTACTTTAATGCGCTGTTTGACAGCTCTCGTGATTACGATGTTTTTAAGGCTTCAGCTCCCGGCATCTCATCATCACGCCAGCATCTCAGGCTTTGGGAAGAGAGATGCAAGTTTCTCCCCCTTGTGATTGCAGAGAAAACCTTGGGAATTCAACCACAACGCACCCGAGCTGGAAGATAAACGGGGAGACCCTCTGCGTGCAGCTGCTCTTCCTTGTTATCTCCCAGCCCAGCTAATTCCCACCAAGCCGCCGCTAACCCACTTACCGCATGAAGCAGCACATCCAAAGGGACTGTTTATTTCTCCCCCCCCAGGCAGGCTGGGCAAAGAAGCCCTTCTCCACTCCCAGCTGGCACGGATCCTGCACCCAGAGGGTGCCCCCAGGCTGGCTCTGCTTTGGGAAGAGATCTTTAAGGAGCGTTTGTTACGGTTGCAACCAGCCCACGTTCAATGGGGAACCCAAAACCCAGGAGCAAGACGGGGTCAGGTGGCTAAATGGGCAAAGAAGGCAAGTCTGTCCCACCAGCCATCCCTGAGATCCCCCCCGAGGCAACCAAAATAGCAGCAGGTAATGCAGGTGGGGAAGGGGAAGCAGCCGGGTCTCTCTCTACCTTCCCGAGCTCCCAAACCCAGATGTCCCCACCCAGACAGCCCAGCCACCACCTCCAGCCCCGGTGGTAATATCACCACCACAGCCACATTTACAACAGCAGCAGGGAGAGAGCTCCTCGCCCAAATGCAGCCATCAGGAGGGAGCAGCACAAAAACTCAAAATGCAGAGGGCAAAAGGGAAAGAGGAGAGCTGAAGGAGGCTGGGAACACCCCATAAACAACACCGATCCCAAACTGCACCTAAATTAAGGGCAGAGCATCATTCTGCGTTCATTCTGCATTCATTCTGCATTCATTCTGCATGCTTGCTTTTCCTTCAGTGCCAGGGAGATGGACCAGAATGGGCACAGCCGTATTTTCCCAGACCCCATAGGAGAAAGCCATGGTGGAGACTGCTCTCCCCACGCTGCAGCAGCACCAGCTCTGACAGCCGCAATTCCCATTCCCCCCGGCCCTGCGTGCAGACCTCCAGATAAAGGCACGCTCATATTTAAAAGACACTTTTGCCTTGTCTGCACTTTCCTGGCTGATAACAAAAGTGTATTTACACTGCTGGATTTTAATTTAATGAAATAATGCTTTATTTCCCTCTTTAAAAGCCTGGTTCTTGCATTTATTTCCTGCCATCACCCAGTTAGCACTTGAAGTGAGCAATTCAGTCCAGGAACTGAGGAGCATTGGTATAAAACACTTAAACTGAAAAAGGGGAGAAAGCAGGCAAGGCAGGGCACTGCAAATCCTAGGGTGCAAGTGCTTATAGAGATATTTGTGGTCAAGGGTGAGATGAGAACAGCTGCCTATAAATTAACTCCACCCGTGCCTACGTACCTGTGCCCGTGCTGATCCTAGGTACTAGTGGTGTATGGGAGAGATGAAGGGGAAGAGAAGAAGAGGAAAGCGCAGAGGGGATCAATGGGTACAGGCAGTATAAATGGGGAGGAAAGGGCAGCTGGCCCCACAGTTCTGCTGTCCTGCTCTGTCAGTGCCAGGATGCGAAGCAGGAGAGGAAAAATAACTCGATAATGCAGATTTGCAAAGGGAGATACAAATGGTACTGCAGAAGGACAGTTATCTTCTCTGGAAAAATAGCTTTAGCTTTTTTCTCAAAGCATGACCCTTAAGCCAGAGCATGTAGTTTGGATAAGTTTGACACCTGCCTGCATTAAGTCCTCAGTACACCCAGTTCCCCAGCACCCTGCTGTTTAGGAAAAAAAAAAAAAAAAAGAAAGAAAAAAACAGCACTAATTGGGCACATCATGTCATAATGGCTCCATCAGCTTACAGAGGCCTCAGGACTCCCCCATTTGCTGCTCTTCCCTCCCCATTTGCAGAAGCCCTGTGACTTTTCTTTCTGTACACCCACACCACTACGTTTCTTTCCTCGTGTGCATTAGGGAAACAAATTAAGCTTGAAGCAATAGCTCCAAATGGCACGGCTGGTTCCTGGCTGTCTATTCCCCAGGGTGTTTTCCAGTCCAGGAGCAATAGCTTGCATTGCCAGCAGGCAGAGAAGAAGGAACCTAAATTTGCAGAAAATGCACCATTTTCCTCCCTCGCAGCCCAATATTCAAGCCTTTAAGTTACAAATCAGAGGCTGGTGAAGGGTGCACCAGTATCTGCATGCAAACACGGGGAGCCCTGATGCGTGGTGAGACAACGCCCTGCGCCTGTGTATTTTACATGTTGGTTTGGTAAAAGCCCCAACAAGCAAATTCTTGGTAAAAGAGACCTCTAGGCAAAGCAAATCCCCCTGTCGCAGAGCAGACCTGCCTCTTTGAGTGAGTTTTCAAAAGCAAGAGGCTTGCAGATGAAACACCCGCTGCAATCAATGAGCCGAGCTCCATCCCACCGGGCCCTGCTTAAGCACTGCTTAGCAAAGCCATCTCTTTGTTTCCCTGTCCTGACGTGAATTTCATGGAAAAAAAAAAATAAAATCAGTTTTGCACCACGTTTTGCACCTTGCCTGGCAACTGGGTTATGAAAATGGGTCAAAAAGGGTGGTCTTCCGCTCCTCTCCCACCCCACCCCCAATTGCTGCAGGTTTTTTTTGCACGCGTGGCAGCTCTGGGCTGGTGCAAGGCACCACAAGCAGGGCATTGAGAGCTGGGGCTCACCTGTTGGAGAGCCCTGAGAGCACAGCAAGGCTGCAGGATGAGGCCGAGGGGCGCTGAGCACCACGGGACCCGATGCTCCCTTAAACATTGAGGTCAAGAGTGAAGGCCAAGTGGCATTCCCCACCTCGTGGCCCAGTGCCCCAAGTACAGCGCCTGCCCATGAAACTGCTCATCGGGCCAGGCAGGAGGGTGAAGTAGAGCAGAGCCCCAAAAGCAGGATATTAGTACTATAGGGAAACCCAAAAAGCAGGTCTGGGGGTTCAGGGCTTGACTCTGGACCCAGGCTTCAATCACGGTGCAACAGCTCACGCTGGATGGGATGTGGGAATGACCCACAGCCACCACAGGCCCTATTTCAAGCTTGTTCCCCTAAAATCCAATACACAAGACTCACATTCATGAGAAAATGCCCCCAGGTGACAGCCAGGCATATGGCACTGCCACAAAACTGTAACAGGGCGCGTGTCCTCCCACCCCACCCGGCCCTGGCCCCTACTGGGCCCCATCCACCAGGCACCACAGGCCTGGATTCGAGTGGCTCTGAAAAGGTGGGGAGCAGGCCTGGGAGGTGCAGAGCGGCCTGAACCCCCTAGGACTGACCCCAGCCAAGTCCCATAGGAAGAGAACAACCCCAGACCTGTGGATGGTGGCTGGGGTCACAAAATACAGAGTACAGTGACCAAAAATTGCCAGTAACAACCCCGTTTGCATCATGGCCAGGAACTGCAGGGGAAAAGCCCTCACCCTAGGATACCGAGCAGCCATGGGGCTGCGAAGAACAGGGTCAACCCCACCCCAGGCTCAGGTTGTGAAGCCTGAAGTGCTGATTCGTACTGTCCTTTCCCTGCTTTTAATGCTTCAATGCTAAAAACAACCCCACCAGCAGCAGCTGTAGGGACGGGAAGGCAGCAGGACATAGAGGCAATGCAAAAACCATCCCAGGAAGGTAGGGGTCAGAGCACACCCTCCTTCCTCCTTCCTCCTTCCTCCACCTTCTCCAAAGGCCCTGCAGAGCACAGGCCCCTCTCTCAAATTCATCTGTGACAAAAAACTGTACAAAAAAAAATCCCACTCCCAAAATTCTACAAAAGACACCAGGACTAAATAGTATTAGTTTTTTTGAGGGACATACCAGGAATCCATGTCCTTGGGAGGTTCCCATGGGTGAAGGCCTCAGCTTCCCCTCTCCAAAATGCAGCACGCCAGGACTTTGTCTCCTCCAGGGCACAGGGTAAAGCAGGCTGGGACTGTGCTCTGCCTCTTCTCTCTCCCAAAGCAGCACACACCATGAATTTGGGGGCAAAAAGCCCCAAAGCACCAGCAGCAAGAGCCTCTGCCACCTGCCCAGCCCCAGGGAGCCACAGGTGATGGCCACAGCTGGGGGGCAGCGAGCTGCAGCCCCCACCCCCAGGCTGCCTGTAGAACCAGGGGATGGTGCAAAAACAAAAAAAAAAACACCAGGAGGAAAATAGGAAGACCAAGGGGAAGGTGCAAAGCTCAGCTGCTTTGCAGCAGGACCCGCGCCCTACTTTTTGCTGATGCCCCATGGAGGATTTCTGGCTCTTGCAGAGCTCAAACCCAGCACCTGAACCTGCCCCACATGGGGCTCAGCTCCTCCAGCGGGGTGCAGGGATCAGGGAGGTCATCATTCAGCAGCTCTTTTCCCCAATATTGCAGCTGCCAGGTCAAGGAGAGCACAGCACACAAATTTGGGGTGCCCAGCACAGCAAAGGGACAAATCCAGCATAAATGGGGATAAATCAGGGAACTGTGCAGAGAGCCTAACGGGCAGCGTGCTTCCTCCTGCCCCCTCCAGTCTCAGCACTACAAATGGGAGCAGGAAATCTAAGGAATTTTCTTGCATAAAATAAAATAATTTTTCCTCCCTCCCTGCTGTATTGCAACTCCCTCCCCCCCCCCCCCCCCCCCCCCCTTTGCAAAATAAAAAATACCATATTGCTATGTTTTGCTGAAATAAAGCCAACATTTGCCAAACAAGCACGCCCGGCACTTTATTAACAGAGATTTTTTTTTTTTCATTTCCCCAGGCTGGCTCCGACTCGTGTCACCGCCTCAGTGACACCGACGTAAATAGGAGCACGATGCTCGCCTTGTTCAACAGAAGGAAACAAATAGGTCAGGCTGTAAAACAAGGGCAGCCTTGCTCTTGGGCATGAGGATGTGCTCCTGTTCCTGCTCAGGAGAGCGGCTTCATTTTTGGGCAGCTGTAATTCAGCAAGTGGAGCAGCAGAGAGGGGACAATGGCCAGATCCAGCAGCAATTTATGTATTTAGTCCTTGCTAATTGCAGCAGCGGCATTAGCATCACCACGGAGGTGCTTAAGTGCTTTGCTGGATCACTTTATGAGTTCAATGAGTGAAATTTTCAGCATTTATGTGCCTTTTGGGAAGGCACTTTTTTTTTTTTTCCTTTCCTCTTGTCTGCGTAATGGGAACATTACAGATGGGGCAAATCCAGGAGCAACTTCAAGCATGTCATTCACCAGGAAAGCCCTTGCAGTAAATACATTCAGGGCAGGGGGTAAGCCCAGCAGCAAGGGCAGTTCTGAGCAAGGCACCAAATAGCCAAAACCAGGCTGGTTTGGGGGCTGCAACACCCCCAGGCTACTGAATATACCCCCCAAAAAAGTGCTTATTTCATCTGCAGCAGCATCCCATCCTGTCGACAGTTGCACTGCTACATCTCAGGGGATTATAGTCTTAAAGAGAAAGAAATCTCATTTTGTTGCTGCTTGCAGCTTTTATTTTTCACTCCTGGACCCTGTTGCAAATTTATTCAGAAAAGGGAAAAAAATAAAATAAAATACATCAGAGGTGCTTTTCCCAAAGAGAAACTTTAGCTGAGGCCAGGAGCCTTGGGGTCATTTGAGGCTGCACAAAACAGCAGAAGTTGATGGTGGAGTGGGGTGGGAAGAGCCAGAGCAATCACGTTATGGGATGGAAATTGCAAACCCCGGGGGCCCACAAAGGGTTAAGCAACCTCCGCTGCCCTACATGAGCCACGGAAGGGAGAAAAATAAAATAAAATAAAGCCATTACATCCCATCCACGCCCAGCCAGCCCATCGGGTAAATGGGGGAAAATTGCAAGAAGGCACGTAATGACGGCGAGTTATTTCCAAGCGATGATGGAGGATAACTGTCATTATGGCCAAGAGCGGGGAAGGTCAAATGGGTTTATCCCAGTGCATGCGTGTGCTGTGCAAGGAGGTACAGCAAAGGCAGATTTCCCCCTGAACAACGCAAGCAGGACATAAATTGGGGTTTTAATTGAGTTAGTGTGTGTAACAGGAAGCAAAGCCTCTGCAAGGGCACAGGAGCCAGTGCAAAGCAGGGGCCAGGGGGTGCAATGTGGTCGTGCTTCTGCACCGGGAAATTGTTTTTGTGGGGAGTTTTGAGCCTCCCCAAATACCCCCAGGGCATTCTGGTGAAGAGCAGTTGTCCAAAGCAAGGCTGGTCTGGGAAAATCCAAGCCTGTGTTACGTGTGGGGTCAAACTGCCCAAATTAGGGGTGTTTGGGGATACAAACGTGTCCCCATGGACTGCTGCTCTCCTCCTGCTTCTGCTCTCTTCACTTCTGCTCACGCCCTGCCTCCAGCAGCTCAGTTAAAATCATTTACTAAAAAAATCCCCTTTCCTATGAAACTCAGCAGATACCCACTTTTAATATTTTCTTGGTGAAAGAGCTGAAAAAAAAAGCACCCTTCTCCAAGTCCACACCAGCAGGACACCGGGATGACATGGGAATATGACTGGGATGAGCAGGGAAAGAGCCAAGACAAGAAATCTGGGAGCACCGAACCCATCCTAGCTCCTGCCAGTGACATGTTATTCAACTCCCATTAGGGACACTAATTTTTATGGTGGAGCAGACTCATCTCCCTGCTATAGGAATAATTTAATTAACTTGGAGAAATGTAATTAATTCTAATTGTTCGCGATAATTCATTGTTTAATATGATATTAATAATTATTAAAAAAATCCTAATGCCCAGTAACTGTCCTATAATGTGGTAATTAAACTCTCATATAAGAAGTGCTTAATTTAAAGCGTTTGGAAATTGTTTCTGGTCTCCAGAGCCCGAATCGGCGACCCAAGAAGAGGCGAGAGGGGAGGTGGAGCTGCAACCCCAAACCCAAAATCCATCTGCAGGCTTTCATTGGGGTGGAGATGCTGTTTTCCTTGGGTTTTGCCCTCCTGAAATCACCTGCAGGGGTCCATCTCTGCTCTCCATTTGTGGGGTGCACCCTGAGGACGCTGTATTGCCCTCCCCTTGCATCCCCACCCAGAGCCCTGTGCACCAGGACTGGCTACCCCAAATATGTGGGGAAAAAGGAGGAAAAAAGGCAAAAAGATCCGGGTGCATTGTAGGGATGCAAAGCCTGCTTTGGGGTTTTCTCCTCTTGCAAAGCATCAGGGTGGAGACATAACAAGCTCAGAGCATCACCACGGTGGGGACAGGTCTGGACCTGATGGAGAAGCAGGAGGACAGAGTTTTCTGCAGCCACACTGAACGTTTTAGGGCAAAAGAATTCATTTCTCTTGGCTGTGTCCTCTGTAACTGTCCTAAGTACTTAAATATACAATTTCCATCAAGGAATTACATGCTGCTGGCAGCATTTTAAAGAAGAGAAAGGACCCCCCACAGGACTGTTTGCTTTCCTTGAGTGGCATCATCTTCAGCGAAGGATCTGTCCTCTAATTGCACCATCTGTGCTTTGGGAGGATGTGATTCCATCCCTTGTTTTGCTAATTTTTTTTTCCTCCCCTCTCCTCTCCTTCTCTTTTTTCCTTCCCTGGAGAAATTGCAGGGGAGTTTTATTTTTTTCCTCTTTTTTTCTCCCCCAACCCAAGCCTTCCCTGAACCTGGCACTGCAAGAGCACTGAAGCCTCCCACTGAAGGCTGAACACCCTTTCTGTGTCTCACCCCTGTGGTCTGAGATCGAGGATGCTGCCAAGCACTCCATGCTCTGCTCATTTTACTACATGCCTGTGCACTGGTGCAACACAATACGGGTTATTTCCACACTGCATTTTGCTCAATGCAAAAGCAATTGCCAGCCTGGGGTGCAAAAATCGCTTCCTGACCCCATCAGGGTGCAGCCCATGCTGGGGTGGGCTGGGAAGCCACCAGCTCACCTAAGTCCAGGACTTGAGCACTCAGGCCCACTAGCCACAAGGCTGGGTGCTCCCAATTTGGGGCAGTTTTGCAGGAAATGGGTAATGGAGCATGCTGGTGGCAAAGCAGCACCCAACTGGGTGCAGGATCCCATTGCACCATGCATGTCCCCAGGTGCATCCCCACAGTGCACGCAGGATGGCACAGCAGGAAGACCTTGGCCATTAAACAAGCAAGAACACAGTGGGGCCAAGCCACAGTGCCAAAATCGGGTTAAAAGCGGCAGATTTGGGGAAGGGGGTTGCACCTGATTCTGGCTGGAAGCACATTTGCTTGCAGAGCACTCGTGCAGTCAGTCCCCTGATGAGTTACAGTCACACCATCAATGCCAGCACTATTAACTGCTGCTGCAGACTGTTCAAACAAGAGCAGAGATGCTAATGGGGATGAATTTTCAAGCCTGGAGCAAGATGTATCAGCCTTTCCCAGTGCTTAAATAAACAAGTGGGTGACCTGGCCCCAGCTGCTGACAGTAACAGCAAAAAGAGAAGCATTTCTTCCATGCAGTTCAATTCATTTTGTGCACCTCATAAAATCACCAGGGTTTCCTCTGTTTTGCTCTAAAGGCTGAACATTGCTTTGTAAAAGCTCCAGGTAGGAGTGAAAGTATCGCTCCACACACCATAAATCCCTGCTCCACTCCCCACCCAGGGGAAGCCTGGCCGCACAAGGCAGGAGGCGAGAAGAGGAAAAGCGAAGCCTTAAGGAGATGATAACCTGGTGATTTGAAGAGGGGGGAATCAGGAGGCTTTGCTGTACTCACCGCTCCCCAAACCAACAATTATGTCCTTGCTGGAAATGACAAAAACCATCCCTCCATCTTCCTGTACCAGGTGGCAAAACTGCATTTCCAACACAGCCCTTGCACAGGGTAGGGGTAGAGCCCCCAGAGCCCCCTTTTTTTTTTAACCATTAAGGCATTGATCTCCACCTATCCGTTGCAAAAAAAAAAAAAAAAAAAAAAAACAGCTTTGTTGCTCTCTCGGGGGGCAAAGACGCACGTCTCGAGTCGCAGTGCGAGCGCAAAGCCTTTGCTAAAAATACCTCGGCGGAGCCGAGCTCGCCACCGCCCGCTTTGATGAGGCAGGAGACAGCAGCTCCCTGCGCCATCGGGAGCCATCATTAGCAGCTTGCATCTGCCTGGCTGGCAGCAAACGGCTCCTTTTCCATGCGGACGTGTAAAAAAATAAAAAATAAAAAATAAAATAAAAACCGCTTCGGTTGTTTTATTTGCCAGCCCAGCAGCTCTTGCAGCAGCCTGGGATTTGCTGCACGACA